CACACGCACACACACACACACACTCACACACACACTCACACTCACACACACACACACGCACATGCACGCACGCATGCACACACACACACACACACACACAAACACAAACACAAACACACGTGTTCCTCTCTCACGCTCTTTCCCCCCTCAACCCCACCCCCCCCCCCCGGCACCAAAGGACGGCGCCATCTCCCCTGCGCTGTTCCTGTGGTACAACGCCCCCAGCAGCCAGCTGGAGCTCACAGCGCAGCTCAAGCGCGACCACATGGCCCTCGCACACATACCCAGCATGGTCACGGTCGTCGCGCAGGACGGCCGCGTGCTGCACCAGAACGGTGCGGGCGCGCGCGTGCGCGCGCGCGCGTGTGTGCGTGTGTGTGTGTGTGTGTGCGTGTGTGTGTTTTGGGGGTGGGGAACGGCCTCTGTTGCACTAGCTTAGGGTTGAGGGCAGCGGGACATGGCGCTGAGGGAGGGTTGGGGGTTGGAGGGCGGCGCGGACGCGGGCGGTGGGAGGCCCGGCGCGTGCTGCACCACGGTCGAGTTTCCAAGGGGGTGCCCTTCGCCGCTCCTCCCTCCATGCAGCCGGGTAATTCTGATGCATGCGCACGTGTTGCTGCCAAAGACAACAGGGTTGCTGAGCCCCCAATCTCAGAATCAGCCCCCCCTTCCATACCCTGGGCGCCGCTCAGGTTCTCGGCAGCTCCACACACACTGCATGCACCCTTGGCCACGTAACCATGACCAGCCCCGCCCAATCCTACTTCGCAGGCGGCAGCGTCGCCTACATGGGCTTTCTCATGGGCGCCGTCGGCCGCGGCGCGAGCTGCGGCGGCGCCGCCGCCCCGCCCGCCGCGACCATTGCCGACGGCGCCGGCGCGGGGGAGGCGCGCCACACGCTGCGGCGGCTGTTTGCGCGGGAGCCTGGGGCGCTGGAGGAACTCATGGCTGTCACTGGGGAGGGCAGGGTGCGCGGGGCCGTGGGGATGGGGCGCACAGGCAGCGAGTCACAGGGACAACTGGCGCGTGCTCGCTTTGGAAGGCGTCTGTAAAGTGTCTTGATGGAATATTGATGGAATGCGGAGCGCAGCCATGGCTAGCGGGCTTTCGGAGCCGGCGCGCGGGCGGTTGGGTGGGGGGAAGGACGGCGCCGGTGGCTCCCATGGCGGCGCGCGGACATACACGTGGCCGCACCTGCGAGCGACGTCGGGGCGCGACAGGCGGGCGCACAAGCGCTTGACTTCTGCTGCTCCCGTGCATTCCGGGCGCCGTTCTCCCCGCGCATGCAGAGACACCCCGCAGTCTCCCGACTGTGTGCCACGACCCCGCGCATGCACTCACGGCCCGCATCGCTCCCTGTGTGCGTCCGCTTTTTGCCCCAGACCTGGACGGGCGTGGTGCGCATGGCCCCCCAGCTTGACCTGACAGAGGACGACCCAGGCCCCGCGGCGCAGCAGCGCGACCAGCTCGACCCCGCCCGCCACGAGCCGCGAAGCCGAGACGGCCCCCGCCCGCAGGGCGCGGCTCGTGAGTGGGACGTGGCAGAGGAGGAGCAGCAGCTGAGGTGCGGCGCAGGGACCCCGGGTGGCGGCGGCGCGCTCGCGTTCCTGCCGCCCTCCGGCCTGCAGCCGATAATGTCCGGCGCGAGCGACGGTGTGAGCGGCGTGTTTGCCTTTGGCGCCGACAGCGAGGGCGGCCTCGCAAGCCGGCCCAGCCAGGGCAGCCTCGCCAGCGGCCGCTGCTCGCCCTTCCAGCTGCTGTCAGGGGCGTTTGATTCGGAGCCCGACTCGCCCCCGCGCGGCGCGCCGCCCAGCAGCCCCGGCGGCGCGGTCGCGGCGCCGCCGGGCGGTGGGGCCTGGGGCCTGCGGGCCGCGGGCGCGGCAGCGGCGCAGCTTGGCAAGGCGTTCGCGCGCGCAGATGCGGGCGGCGGCGCTGCGGCAGCGGCGGCGGCGGGCCGGGGCTCCCTGTCTCCAGGCCGCGGCGCGGCGGCTGTGCAGTCGGGTGTGGGCGGCGGCAGTGGCAGGCCATTCTCTTTCACGTGCCCCGGGGATACCGACGACGACGCCCGCGGCGGCTCGGCGGCGCAACTGAAGCCCATCTTCGACGCCGGCGCCCGCATCTCGTTCTCATCCTCATCTCGCCAGCGCGCCAAGAGCGTCGGCGGCGCCGCCGCGGCGGCGCTGCTGCGCGGCAGCCGGGCAATGCGCATGATGACGTCATCGTCCTCGGTGGCGGCCGCCGGCCCCGCCGCGGGCGCGCCGCCGTCGCCGGCCGCTGCCGGGGCGGCCGCATGGGGCGGGGGTCTGGGCATGGCTGTGGCGTCGGACGAGGGCCGCGCGCCGCTGCCACGGCACGCGGCGGCGGGGGCAGGAGGGGCAGGCCGCAGGTTCAGCGCGCAGCCCACGGTACTAAACCCTGCTGGCATCGACGGCCCTGCGGCGGCGCCCGGCTTCTCTGTGCGGCGCCCCAGCGCAGGTGCTGCGGCCACGCTCCCGGCCGCGCTCGGCGCGCCCGCGCAGCTGCCGCCGCCACTCGGCACAGGCGCGCCCTGGCCGCCGCCGCCCGGCGCGCCGCGCGCCGCGGCCGCCGCCGCGCAGCATGTGGGCGGTGCGGGTGGCGCACGGCGGCCGTCGGGGCCGCTCACCCTATCGCGGCTGCTGAGTATGCGGCGCGGGAGCTTGCTGTACCACATTGATGCTCCCCTGGGGCCGGTGGCGTCCCTCCTGAGAGACCCCGAGTGCTGGCACGAGGTGCAGGTGCGTGGAAGCTGCCGCCCCCCTTCCGAGCCTACACGATTGGAAGCTTCTTAGGGTATGCGGGATCCACAGTCTTGCAGTGCGCCAGGCGCGCCGCCCCGTCGCAGCTGTGGCGACTTGGCGCCTCTCAGCGGCAGCGGAGGCCCCAGGTTCGGCGGCCCGCGCTCGGCCCCGGGCACAGCGGCAGAGTGGATTTAAATCGATCCGTGAAACCCATCTATGGTTCCTTTTGCACCCACCTATGGCATCACTCTGCGGCTTTAGGAGCTTCCCCATCCATTGTCCATGCGCACCACATTCACTGCGCCCCCCAACAGGCGTCCCGCTTCCAGGACCCGGTGACAGGGGAGGAGGTGATCATGCTCATCCAGACAGATGTCACCGGCCGCGTGGTCGCGGAGCGCGCGCTGCGCCAGGTGCGTTGGCCCGTGCCCCGTCCGTCCGCGTGACGGGCCACCTCCCACCCGTTGACCCTCGCGCCCTCGTTGCGGCAGCAGCCGGGGGCGTTCTTGCAGTATAGCGGCGGCTTCGACGCCCGCAGTAGCAGTGGCTTGCTCGCCTTTACCCTCTGCATCGCGCCCGGCGGCCGCGCGGGCTGTCGCCAGGCTCAGGCCTGCCGCGCGGTTTCGGTGGGCACGGTGTTTTCAGTGGGCACGCCTCCAACCCCAAACCTGCCTCGACGCATCTGTTTTTAAAAGGTGCTGGATGCAGAGCACAAGCTGCTGGAGGACATATTCCCGCGACAGGTGCGCGCTTGTGTGTGTGTGTGTGTGTGTGTGTGTGCGTGTGTCTGTGTTGGGGCGTGTCCGTACTGTGTGGGCGTGCTTATTGAGAGTGTGTGTGGGTTGGGGGGGGAGGGGGCGGGCATGTGTGAGGGTGCGTGCGTGCCCCTGCGTGCAGACTTACACGTGCGTGTGAGCGCATGCGGTGTCCGTGCTTGGGTGCGTAGGAGTGTGTGCGCGCGTACGTTCGTTCATGAACTTCAGCACGCGCATGCATGTGTTGCTGAGCATGCACGGACAAGGGTGCCTTTTTCGCCTGGCCAACTGCTATCCCAGCACCCCGTGCGCAGCAATCGACGTCCCGGCCGGCTTTGCCACGCCTCAGCTCACCTCTGCCCGACACAAGCGCCCCGCCTCACCTGCTGCCCGGGCGCCCCGCCACTCGCCCCCGCAGGTGCTTGAGGCGATGACGGTCTCCGCGCTGCGCAGCCACGAGGCCGCGGAGCTGCCGCACCCCGCGCTGCAGCAGCCGGGGGCGCAGCCGCCGGGGCCGGGCGCAGCCATCAAGTTGGCCCTGCACCACGAGCAGGTGGGGGCCCCCCTCCCAC